TATTACAACAATAACTCCTCGGCAAAGTAATGATAAAGTTAAAGCAGCAGAGTTGCAGCTTGCTGTAAGCATGTCCTGCCATTGTGCAATACGCACAATTGATTTAAGTGAAATCATAAGAGCGCATGGTCGGGGGAGTACATACAGTTGCATAGAACAAAATGTTTATGCTTAATAAAAAATATTATATCGCCTGCACTTAACTCTTTGAGTCCCAGGAAACGCATCATACGTTCACAGGTTCTTACCTAGAAGCCCAAAGAACGCATGATGTGTCGATTTTAGTTTCTCCTTACTACCCATTAGGCCTTAAATGCTAATCCCCCCTGGGACTCAAAGAGTTAAGGATGACCTTATTGATGATTTTCGGAACAAGAAATATGCCATTATTATAGATAAATCTACTGACGTTTCCACTCAAAAGTACTTGTGCATTATAGTTAGTTTTTTCAGTGACAGGAAAAATGAAATTTTTACTGGATTTCTTGCTTTAATTTCCTTGCCAGTGGCTACAGGAGAAAACTTATTTAATTTGATTGATAAGGAAAGCAAAAGGTGTGGTCAGAGTCTTACAGATTGCATTGGGTTTGCGTCAGATAGCTCTTCAAACATGGTCGGGTGCAATAACTCTGCATGGTCCAGAAATAAAGATGTGTCTCCTTTTTGTGTACAGCTAAGATATATCTACCATTGACTAGCACTCTGCATTTGTAGTGCAATTGTTAAGCTGCCATCAAATATTGGTTTCTTACTGTCAGAAATACCTCAGTGGTTTCGTCATAGTGATTTAAGATGAGAAGCTAATAAAGAACTGTTGAGAGTGATGAACACATCTACGGAGTGTGAATCAGAACGAACTGCTCCTCTTCCATTTGAAAAACTGTCATCTACTAGGTGGCTTGTGCGTGGAAAGATTATGTTCAGTATGTTGATGAACTGGGAAGAATTGAAAGCTTATTTCACATGTGCTGAATTAACACAGACAACGTTTGACACAAAATATATAGTAAAATTGTAAAGGGAAATGCTGTTAGACCACAATAATTATTTGTACTTTGTGTTTGCGACACCAATTGCACAAGAATTTGAAAGACTGAACAGTCATTTTCAACAAACAAAAGCTGATCTTTATGAACTACACCAAGAATTGTCCATACACCAGAAACGTCTTAAAAACAGACTGTATTCATCACGTTGACTTTGCTATTAAATTCCTAACGGAATGTAATTCGTTCCCACAGAAGAATAACAGAACTGAAGTTCAGATAGAAATAAACAATGTTAATGAAAGATGCTTGTCTGTGCTAGTGGAAGCTCTCAATCAAATTACGTGTAGACTTCCCACAGAGAATATATTTCAAAATCTGTCAAAATTGAGCCCTTTGGCAGTTTTAAATCAAATATCAAGGACACAGTTTTCAGAGCTACCATTTTTACACCTGGCAGAAAACAACATCAGTATTATAGAAGAACAGTACAGAAAAATAACTGTTGTCAACTGGAAAGAAGAATCTACATTTAAGAAGGATGGACTACCTACAAACAGGGAAGATTTTTGGATAGGCGTACTTCGACACCAGGCATTTAGAGAGTTGGCCACTTTCGCCCTTACTTGCTTAATGATGCCCGTTAGCAATGCTGTAGTTGAGAGAATATTCTCTCTTGTTACTTCAACTAAATTAAAAGCAAGAAACAAAATACAACTGGATTTTCTTGATGCAGTTGTCAGAAATAGAGCAGAACTATTGATATCACTGAAATGTTGCAAAGACTTCATTCCATCAAAGAAAATGCTTACAGATTTTACAACCGAAAAGGTTTATGCTGCATCTTCCACTGGTTCCAGTGAGGATGACAGTGAAGAATTCAATCTAGAGCTTTTGATGTGAAGTGAGTACAATGTTATACTTTGTTTGGCAATTTTCTGGCATATTTTGGGTGATGGTTTGGCATAAAAAAAAGTTTTTTATCAACAAATTACTGCAGACAGCTCGTAAGGAAGCGTTTCAAAGTGATACAACAGAATCAGAAAGTTTCTGATCAAATCCAGAGTCAACAAAAGTAGCACAACATCGAGTCACTAAACACTGGCTGCCGATACGGAAACGACACATCGACAGAGGGAAGCTAGAGTGCGTGGTTGACAGACAGTTTATTAAACGAAGCTGCACACAACTGGCGTGTCTGAATTGATGTAAATATGTTGAACAAATATTGTTAAGGAGTTAGACAGTGTACAATAAATAATTACTTAAGAAAGATATTAATTTCCATGTGAACAAGTGTGCACCGGTGCTATACGATAAACAAAAGGAACATTACAATAACATTTTCTAAAATCATTATTATGCCGAAAATTGTAACGGGAATTCTAGCCGAGGATCTGAAGGAAATATTCAACAGTTAACATTTTCGAACAACAATTCTAGTGTGCGCGAACGATAAATATACTAATAGACAATAAATTGAAAATTAATTTTAGACAAAATAAAAGTAGATTTCGAAATCTGGAGCGGATATAACCGCAATATTGTGAATATTAATGTGTGGTTAGAGAGAAAGCAGAGTAAATAAGGTTACACCAATATTTCTTTACCATATTTATTTATTTACTGTTGTAAATTATTGAATGGTATATATATATATATATATATATATATATATATATATATATATATATATATATATATATATATATATAGATTGTTTTATATGACATAATTGCCATTGCTCATCATCATTATACATAATTATATTTATTACGATATATTTGTTGAATTTTTTTGGAGTAATTTTGAAAATTGTCAACAATTTATATTACTAATTAGAATATTACTGTTATTTACTGAGACTTATTAATTGAGAATAATTCCACTGATTTTTCAAAAGAATTGGTACAAAATTTTTTTTATGATCATAAATTTGAAATCATTTATAGATTTATGATTATTATTAGTATGTGTCAGAGGCAAGTTCGGCTACAGGATAAGTAGGTGTAATCGTACTGAATTATCACATGGGAACGAGTTGACCCTAAATCAAACTCAGAGCGAGATCGGGCAGTTTGAGCACGGAATAAACTGGCAGCGTATCATAGATAAACGCTGGAGAGGAACAAAAGGTTTGGGCAGAGCTTGTTCGGGGAGAGGTGTAGTAGGGCCCTGGGCAGGAGAGTTGTGGGACTGCAACGGTAAACGTATCTTAGATTAGTGACGATTCGTCAGAATAGTATTTGTGGTTATTCTTTAGATATGCTGTGTTTCCATACAGTGTTTTGACGAACTATTGCAGATTTAATGTTTCTTGTATAGTAAAGGTTCCACGCAGTATCTTTTAAGCAAGTAGTTAATGTTGACACGAATTGTTGGTGGAGTTAGCACTGCCCACTCATACTTAGATCATTAACCTTAGGTGTGTCATCGAGTCCCGCGTGGCGAGGCGTGCAGCTTAGTTAGCGCTGTACGACAGGGAGATGGAATCGAGTCCTTGGTATATCCCGGCTTGGTTTATTGAATGTAAAAGCTACCAAAGCTGGCGTTTCGGATTAAGGAAGGCCACCTTTGTTGAAGCTTGCTATAAGTTGAATAGTTAATTGTACATTAAAGGTTATGTGTGTACTCAGTGGGTGTGTGTTTTAAGTGTGACATAATGTAGTTAAGTCTGTTAGCTGGCCTATCTAAAGAGCCATTGGAAGTACATAATAGAGTAGGTTCCTGTATGTTTTATTAGTGAACAATAACAATTTGATAGTTATTTATTAACATCTATAAATAGTTATGCATAATTTATTAATAGTTAACGGTTTTTAGAAATTGGTTTATATTAATTGAAAGAAAAACTATACAGCAGTTACCATTCATTGATTGTAATTTATAAATTGATAAAGTATTAACAAAATTTTGTTTCTATATATATATATAAAATATTTCAGGAATTGATTTCATTGATTACCAATTAATTTTTCTCTATTAGTTTACAAGTATTTGCCGCCATCTCTTATAGTTGTCTTTGATATTAATAATAAGACCCCTAACAGATCTAAACTAGTAGATAGCTGAGTCACACACAGAGTGGAAAAAGATCTAAGGACAAAGATTATTAAAATCCTGAAAAGGTAATATTCTTCAACCTAATTACATAATTTAGTTACTGGACATTGATGACATATTGATGCGATGTATTAAACTATTTGATAACAAATGGTATTGTAGTTGGTTTATAATTACCATTAGAATATTAATACCTGTGTTGTGTGCAAACAACTTTGTTGCATTCTCTGATAACAATCACAGGTTACTGATTTGAATTTCTTGATTGTTTTTGTGATTTCTTTTGACATTGTTGTTGATATTAACAGGAAGGATAATAGGTAGTACAAGAAGAATACAAAGACAATTGTTGAACTAGATCTATGTCTCCAAGTAGAAGAGTAACGTAAAAAAATGGACTAGAAGCACAAGGAGACGGCAGATAAAAAATGAGAGCAAAGAAGACTCTCTAGGGAACACGACACTTTTAAAGCAAAATTAATCTAGGAGCGAGGCAGCCTTAGAGAAGGAAAGACTCAAGGCTGAAGAGAACAGATAAAAGAAGTATGCAGGAATCGTGATAAATTAATGTAAACACGATGACTTAGCTTCATGGATCACAAATTTTAAACTCCAAATGCACATGAGCAGGGTTCCTAAAGAGGATTATGCACTGATCTTTCTAAAACACTTGACATTTAAGCCACTGAAGATCTTGGAATCAATTCCAGAGCATAAGAGATTGTATTTTGAAAACGTGAAAAAACGAATCATGAAGCACTACAGCCTACATGAAATGGGTTATAGAAAGCAGTGGAGTTGAAACCTGGAAGCAATCAGACGCTCACAGATTGCTTGTCTGAAGTGCAAAACACTTTTTAGAACTGGATGGATGCAGCTAACATCAAAAGCGACTGCAAATTACTGGTTGACCTGCTTATAAGAAGTAAATTACTTAAAATCACTTTTAAGGCCAATAGCCATGTTTTTAAAAGGAATAAACCAATGAATGTAAACCATAAAGAGCGAACTAAAGAAAATTATTACGCTACCCATCTAGGTATATTCATCTCAACAAGCAGTGTCAACATTGAAGTGGGAGAAGCAGCGTACTCCAGACAGTATCAACCAAGGCATCCAACCAAAGACTATAGGTATGGCAAGAAGAAACTAGTCATCATTACTTGCAGTTACTGTCACAAGCAGTACGGGACAGATTCCATCTACGACAAATACTTGGATTATGAAAAAAGAGTTAAAGAGTTGATTGCCATGAGAAAAAGCAAATTAAATAAAAATAACAATGCAATTAATTTTTTTTTGTGTAACTGTTACGGCCACTTACGCTTCCGATGTATGTTTAAGAAACAGTTAGCTTACGGAGTGTCAGAGCAAGAGTCAGGTTCAGATCAAGTTGAGAGCAATTGTCTAGAAATATGTGATGTTGAAGAAATTGTTTTATTTGTGCAGATTTTCAGGACGAAAAGAATTTGCCTTATGGACACCAGATCTCAGTCTGAAATGCCAATATGGTGGCACACGGCCAAGGTAGTTTGAAACTAGGAAAAGGCGTGGCACACGGGCGAACTATTTCCGTCCTCAGAGACACTGGTGCGACTGTATCAGGCATTCGCCAAACACTGGTAGGACTAGAGGAATTGACAGGAAGCTTTGTGACTTGCCGCACTTCTTGTGGCAGAATTAAAATTGCAAATGTCTTTATTAGAACTCGGTGTCTTTGAAAAACATAAAAATGATAGTTTTACCAGCACCTTGTGCAGATCTGATTCGAATGATTTGGAAAATGTATCAGATGAAGACATAAAAGGCTGGGAACTAGAAAACGTAGAAGTAAATATAGTTCGATATCTCTTTCAAGACACTAACGCCAAATCCAGTATCCAAAATTACAAATAGTAAGAGAGAGGATGAATGTATGGATGAAAGCAAGGAATTGAGTGCGATGAGTGATAAAAGAAACATGGAAACTGTCCAGAACATAAGTGAGTGTGATAGTATGGAAGTCATAAATGAGGCAGCAGCAGTGATCCCAATCATAACTGCAGTTAAAAAATAAGATAGACAAGAAAACTAATTCTTTAGCAGAATATATCAGTACAACACTGGCATAATTAAACACTAAGATTGAATTTAGAGAAGAACAAGAGAGCGACACATCACTACAGAAATGCCTCAAGCTTTTGAACATACCACCGAAATTAGAGAATAGGGCATCGTGGAAATTTCTTTTTGTACAAAAACATATTCGTTCGGTTGTACCAAAAAGGTGCAAGGGTAGTCAAATTGTGTTACCTGATTGGTAGGTCACCTTGAAAATACAAAAACCACGTGCAATTATCATTGACCTTTTTCTAGCCAGGCTTCATCAAAAGTGTCAAATGTTATGTAACATCTTGTGCCTCTGTTCATTACAATTTGACGACACACACACACATCACACACACACACAAAGGACACACACACTAAAAACATTTGTAAACCGTAAAGGCCCAATTGTGGAAGACAGCAGATCCAAATCCCATTTGAAAAAGTAGTTAGCTATAGACATAATTGGTCAAATACCAGTCATATCCTCAAGAGGCAAAATGTCCTGAGGCGATTCCAACTAAATTTGTAACCTCTGAACATGTGCAAGAAGCTTTAATGTTAATTTTCTCTAAGTAAGGTTTTCCCAATCATGTTTGCGTCAGCAGTAAGACGTAGACCGTAAAACAACTAAGAGGAGATTAGACAGTAGATTCACTACTAAGATTACGTCCAGAGAAGAATGGTTTGGCTGAAATGACTTGAACATGGCAGTCAAGACTATGTTATCGAAAAAAAAAATACAATTAATTGACACAGGATACTATTTTACCTGCAGTATTATTTGGTATCTGAAAATACCACACAGTTCCACAGGGGTGTCACCATTCCAGCTTATATACAGAGCCAACCCGAGAAGGCGTTAGAAATGTTTAAGAACATCAGTACAGGTAAAGATGAAAAAGATCCGAAAGTACATGATTATGAGGTTGTTACAAATTTAAGACAGAAGATCATAACAGCGTGCCAAGAGGCAAACAGAGCTAGCACACAAGCATCAGGAAAGCAAAGAACCTACGCAAATGGGCCAAGTAAGCTAACGGAGCTGAAACCAGACGATGAGGTATTTGTGTTGCTGCATAGTAAGTAAGATAAACTTTGTGTTGAATGACAAAGGCCATATAGGGTGATGAGATGAATATCGAATGTTGGTTAATAAATTGATGATAAAAACAATGTTTAAGATATATTTCAGAAGATGTGATGTATTCGATAAACCCGTTGAAAATGTAAATGCATGTAATGTTATAAATGAAACTGTGGCAGATGCTGTGAATTATGAAATTCCTACACATACCATATCAGATGAGCTCAACTGCAGGTCAGTAAAGATCAATGAAGAAGAAGAACATGAACATTCGCGAGGTTATTTACAAGCATAATGTAATCAATATCAACAAACCAGGGAAGACAAATTTAGTTCACTATGTCAATCAATCAGGTGCCGTCTCCACAAGGAAGGTTGGCTGCAATGGAACTCCAACAAGCCCTGTCTCTTGCCCTTGATGTACACTCACTCATACTGCTGTTCGTCCATCTCTTGATGTTATCCTCCCACTTGTAACGCTGTCTGCCTTTTGCTCGCCTTCCTTGAACCTTTCCCTCTAGGACGATCTTTACAATACTGTTATGTCTTTTAATGTGACCAAAATATTTCACTTGTCTTTTTTCTATGTCACCTAGCAACTCTCTTTTCATTTCCAATTTCCTCAGTACCTCTGTATTTGATAGCTTTTGTTTCCATGAAATACGACCTAATCTTCTGTATATCCACATCTCCAAAGAATTGATACGATTTTCCAGTTTTTTGTTCATTGTCCATGTCTCTGTGCCATACAGTAAGGTTGAGAATACATAACATTTGACAATTCTCATTTTTAATGTATTGCTTATTTCTCTTGATGTCAGTAACTTTTGCATGTTGTTGAAAATGTTTTTGGCCATCCCTATTCTTTTCTTGACTTCTGTTTCACTTTTGCCGTCACATGTTATTACTTGTCCTAGATATAAGAAATTTTTAACTTGTTCCAATTTCATGATATTCATTGTTAGCTGATTAGTTTCTTTGCTAAATATCATGGTTGTTGTCTTTTTCAAATTCATATCTAATCCAAATTCTGCACTCGTTCTGTTTACTTGCTCCACTAGGTCTTGGAATTCCTGCTAACTCTCTGCTAGCAACACTGTGTCATCAGCATATCTCAGATTGTTTATTATTCTACCATTGATGTGCAGTCTTGGTAATTCTATAATTTCTTTTAAAATGGTTTCTGTACATAAGTTGAAAGGCTAGGCGACAGCACACATCCTTGTCTTACTCCTCTGTTGATCTCTATCTGGGGTGATCAGATGTTGTCACATCTTACTGTTGCTTCTTGCTTCCAGTATAAGTTTCTAATAAGTCTGATATCCTTTCCATCTAGTCCTATGTTTTGAAGAGCAGCAATTAGTTGTTCATGTTGCACTCTGTCAAAAGCTTTTTTGTAAACTATAAAACATGCATAAATATTTTTCTGAACTTATATATATTTGTTTTCAGTCAGCATCTTTAGACAAATTATGGCCTCTCGAGTACCACTGTTTTTACGGAATCCAAATTGCTCTTCAGAAACTTTTTTCTCTATTTTATCTTGAATTCTGGCTTGTATCATCTTTAATAGTAACTTAGTTACGTAACTCATTAGGCTAATAGTTCTGTAATCTACACAATCAACAGCTTTTGATTTCTTGGGTAGTGTGATAAAAACATATGTTTTCATGTCCCTGGGAATGTACCCATAGTTATAAATGTCATATTTCTGTGATAGTATCAATTCCAAAAGTAGATAATGATTTTAACATTTGTGCAGTTATGTTGTCTGGACCTGCAGCTTTTCCCTGGATTGGCGGTTTGTCACCTTTGTTGTCCCAAAACAGGTCTTCTGTGTATTCAGTCCATCTTTTTATTATATATTTCTTATCAACAATAATTTTTCCATCCTTCCCCCTAATTTAACCATTTTCTGTTAAATGTTTTTCCTTGCTTGTAAGTTCTCTTATATTTACATGTATTTCCTTGGTTCTGCGTTTTATTTCAAGATTCTCTATTTCTTTGTATTTTAACTGAATCCATGTTTCCTTAGCAGTTCTTAACATATTTCGTATTTCTTTGTCTATTAATGAATATTCTGGAGTGTTTTTTGCTTTCTTCCTTTGTGTCATTTTGTTTATAATTTCCGCAGTCATCCATACTTGATTTTTCTTGTTTTCTTTCACTGGTAAGATGGCATTAGCTGTTTCTATACTAGTTTTGAAAGATTACCATTTTGTTCCATACTTTCAAATATTAATTTGTCGTATTTATTTTTAACCTTCACTAGGTACTGCTGGCTTATTTCTGGCTGTTTCAAAGCTGATATGTCTATGTGGGGTGACCTTTGCGTTTTTATTCCTGCGTTTTTAAGTTTATTTTGTATTTTTATTACCACAGGGTTGTGAAATTTATATCCGTACCTGGGTATGTTTTGGGGTTCTCTATGTTGTTTTTGAATCTGTCTCTAATCAATACATAGTCAATTTGGTTTCTATTTATATCTCCTGGACTCTTTCACGTAAACAGTTTTTTAGGTGGATGTTGAAAAAATGTATTACAAATAATGAGTTGGTTCTCTTCGCAAAACTGTATCAATCTGTCTCCTCTGTCATTCCTTGATCCCATGCCAAATTGCCCTACAATATATTTGTGCTTCTTTGTCCCCACTTTTGCATTCAGGTCTCCCATAACTATTAAGACCTCTGATGATTTTACAACTTTCAGTGTTTGTTGTAGTTCTTCATAATATTCTTCAAGCTGTTCATCACTGTATTCAGTTGTTGGTGCATATGTCTGTATTATTGCAATATCAAAAAGTCTTTCCTTGATCTTGATCAATATAATTCTGTCATTGTTTGCCCAGAACCCGCTAATAAACTTCTCTAAATTTCTTTTTATCAAGAATCCTACTCCACGTTCATGATGTTCTCCTCCAGAATTAATAAATATGTAATAATCTTTCTTTATGCAGCTAGCTTCTGTCCATTTTGTTTCTTATACTCTAAAAATATATAAATGCATATTCTTTGCCTCGGAAATTAAACAGTCAAATTTTCCAACTTAATCTAACGTTCTAACACTCCATGTGCCAATGCGAAGACATCTCTTTCTACTTTTCAGATATGCGTTGTAAGAATGTGCTCTTTCAGAAGAATTTTAGGCGCACTCGTCATTATGCTCTACCCTAGTCAA